GTCTAGAAAATTACGAGCTGATGAACAAATATTTTTGATTGGGTCACCTTCTACCCAAATACTAGGCTCAAAACTCCCGCCTATTGGACAAGTGCTTTCAGTATTTTTTTATAATGTGAGAACAGTAAAACTTAATACGAGAGAAAGTGCTTCGTTAGTCGTTCGTGAATGCAATATTTTTTGGGAAAAAGCTCGAATTCCTGTCCGAGCAGTTTAGCATTGTATTAATAAACTTTTAAATGCGTACGAAGAATGGCGTGCTCTACAAAAAAATTCACAAAAGGTAGGTTCATTTAAATGAAAAGAAACAGAATTCATAAACAAACTGAACAATTTATTTGATATTGCACATGTTAATGCTTTAAATATAATGAAAATTGAAAATGACAAACAGTTTTTAATTAATCAAAGACTTCCTGGTCGAATTGGTTGTCTTGGTAGTATAGACAAAAAGTTACTTGAAAATGAAAACAAAGCAGAAAAACGTAAATATAGTGAAATAGAAAAACTAACAAATCGAAAACTTCAACATTCAAATTATAATGCAACTGAAATTCAAAATCAACTATCTGATATTTCCTTGAGTTCATCGTCGTCATCGTCAGATTTTGAATTCACACAATGCACTTGTATACCAATGACATTAACAGAAGAAAAAAGGGGCCGCACAAATTTCATTTCTCTAAAGCTTGTTGCTGCATTAGATCGATGTAAATTAAGTGTACGGGGCTCAGTTTATATTATTCAAGCAACAGATGAAGCATTGGGTAACAATATTGATATTTTGGTTATAAATAAATCGTCTATACATCGATGTCGTGATGCTTTACGAGTTGAACGTGCCAATAAAATTAAAACCAATTTTCAAAGTTCTATTCCTAGTTATATAACTGTACACTGGGATAGAAAAATATTACCAACGTTAAATGTTAGAGACTCAGGTATTGATAGATTACCGATTGTTTTAACCAGTAAGAATCAAGATTTGTTTATTGGTATCCCAGAGATAGAAAAATCAACGGGAAAAGAATAAGCTAATGCTATATATTATGCATTAGAAAATTGGGGCGTAACAGATATTGTTCAAGCTCTATGCTGTGATACCACCGCTTCAAATACAGGGCGTTTAAATGGTGCATGCGTTTTATTGGAGCAAAAATTGGGAAAAGACTTACTTTACCTACCATGTCGCCACCACATATACGAAATAAGTTTACGTGGCGTTTTTGAAACTGTACTTCCTCATACAACAAGTCCTGATAACCCATTATTCAAAAAGTTTCGAAACAATTGGAATAAAATTGATATTAGAAATATAACTTCTAGTATAGACGACCTTGAGTGTTGCACTGCTTTAGAAGATGTACGAAATAATATTCTCCACTTTTGTTGAGCTATGTTGCAAAATAAATGTTAAAGAGATGACTATAAAGAATTACTTGAGCTATCTATAACATTTTTGAATGGTAATTTGGACAACAAATTTAAAATACGTCCACCTGGAGCAATGCATCAAGATCGCTGGATGAATAGAGCTATTTACTGTTTAAAAATATATATCTTCCGAAATCAATACTCTTTATCAACCTCTGAAAAAAACGCTATTCGTGATATTTACGGGAAAGAAATTGCATGCTCGCTAAATGTAGTAAATGACACAGCGGAAAGAGCAGTTAAACTTATGGAAGATTTTCACGGAACTTTAACCAAAGATGATAAGAAGTCTGAGTTGCTATTACAATGTATACAAGAACACAGAAGACTATATCCTGATTGTAAAAAGGAAACATTGAAAAAACAATTTTAATTAATAAAAATTCATAATATAATTTTGAGAAAATAGTACTTTCATACGCAAAATTCAATATATCTTGTAAATTATAATGAATAAGAAGAAGTATGTAAGAACATAATTTATAGACAATTTTATTATACTTAAAATATATTCTATAACAAATTTTAATTTTCCTAATTGTAAATGAGTTATATATGAAAATGTAAAATATATCATTAAATTATGAATGAATTAATATACTCAAATTTCAAATTCAAGTCGGCACGGGTTAACCTTAATAGATTGACTTAAAACTTTTTGTAGTTCGTTTTTGTAGGCATATACACAAATTAAGTGGGTGAGACCAACAAAAATGCAAAAAAAAAAAAAAAAAGGAACACCCTAATGTGGGTGTCTAAATCTATCAAATAAATGCCAAGTTAAATATAAATTTCGTTATTACTAATACTTATTACTATATTAATGTTAATGAATGAAAAACACATTTGAATACATGCCGCTACAATACGTATCCAGTTTTAAAAATGTTCGTACCAGCTTGAGACAGGTGAGAGTGTAATTAGGAAAAATACAATACAAAAACCAAACCGCCGGATGACAATAAATATGAATCAATTAGCGAGAGTTAGGTATGGGTATAATTATGAATAATAAGAATTTTATATATGGTTTACCGGCCAATGGAAATGCTTTGCCAATTTTTCTGAGATTTTACGGAGTAATTATAAGATCCTATCACACTTGAAATCGAAATGAAATCAATGTGTCCTTTAGTCTTCTACTAGTCGCATGTCCGTCTCTACTCGCTCCGTGTTTTAACTGTTCCTTAGCGATTATCACTACATTTTATTTTACCCTTAGTGTTTTTATTTTTATTTTATTTTTTTAATTTTTATTTTTTTTAACATTTCAATATGTTTAAATGTGAACAGTGTGATAAATATTACAACAGAAAAGATATTTTAGTAAGACATGTCAAAGTTCATAGTGGTACACGATTTACGTGTGGTGAATGTCCTGCTACATTCCGCCATCGCGATTATCTTACAAGACACGTGAAAATCAAACATGGTATGTATTTCAATATTTTACTTTATTAATAATTTTAAATTTAGTTGTTTTTTTTTTTTTTCGACAAATGTTCAATAAAATAAATAATTCAACTATTATTTTGTAAGTTATCAATCGCGTTCAACCACAAGAATAACGTGAATTTAATGAAATTGAAATAGCTCCACAAATTATTGTACCAGACATTCAAGCCGGACCGTCTAACGACCGTTCAGAAGAAACATGGTTTGACGATGGTTATAACGAATTGCTTGATCTTGTTGATTTATGTGAGAATACAGGTAAGATTATTTTTAAATATTATATTCTAGTTTGTGTATAGAGATAGTTAGATAGAATGAATTTCATTTGTAGGTCTCTCAAACTATGTTACGAACGAAAACACGACATATAATAGACGGAATAAAAGGGCACGGCTAGATTTGGTTGGAAAAGCTGTTGAATTTGTTAATGTGGGATCATCTTTTAATAACTATATAACATGGTATTATAAGAAAAACACTAACAATATTATCAATCATTCAGTATTTCTCGATTCAATAAAATCCGAATTGTTAGAATTATTAAAATCATTATCCCTGCCTATCAAATTCAATCTTAAATTGGAAGCTGTATATAATAAACCTAATATTGAAAATTCGTCCGTGAATAGGGCTTTTAAGACCTCGGCGAGGGCGATTTTTAATAATACTAATGTGGAGGAAAGTGTCGATGATATGTTTATCACAATTTTAACTGAGGAGGAAGCTTATCAAGGGAAAGGCAGCGGGTTCACTCTGGAATTGATAGATGGATTATTACTAGGCGTATATAAATATACTCCATTAGGTGCGAGCTCTTTTATTGACTTACCTAAAGATATTCAGAATAAAAAAGCAGTTATTAATCCTCAAAATTCAGATAATCAATGTTTCAAGTGGGCTATACTAGCTAAGCATGTTACAGACGAAAATAAACAACGAGTCGGTCAAAACTATTTTAATCACGAACAAAAATACATATTCACTGGAATATCATATCCCACTTCAATAAACGAAATTAAAATATTTGAAAAGAATAATAATGTTTCAATAAACATATAGGGTCTTAAAAAATCTAAAAAAGATCAACATTTGGTTTTTCCACTACGTGTTGTTGAACAAAAACTAAATCATTTCGATTTATTGTTATTAAAAGATGAAGATAGGTCGCACTATACTTATATTTCAAACTTTTCCCGGCTTGCTCGTGCACAAAAAACTCTGCACAAGGAAAGTGTAATATTTTGTAAAAGGTGTTTTTCATCTTTTGACAGCAGACAAAAAAATAAATTCAATGACCATATCCGAATTTGTGGTGATCATAAACCCATAATTCCAATTATGCCAGCAGAGGGGGCTTCACTAGAATTTGATGCGTGGAGTAAGACCCAACGTTTGCCATTTGTAATATTTGCAGATTTTGAAGCCCTCCTTTTAAAAATTAATAAAAAATGTGGTAAGAATACAACGGCGATCCAATCGCATAAACCAATGAGCTATGGCTTTATGGTTAAAGCTGCAGCAGATGTTCCACTCGAATTACTCGAAAAGTTTAATATTCCACAGACTCCAATCATTTATCGAGGATCTGAGAACTCAGATAACGTTGCAAAACACTTTGTGCAAGCTATTGTGGAGGTTGCACAAAGATTATATAGATTATTGAAAACAACCAATATACCGATAAACATGAGTTATGATGAACGTCGAAAACATATATCTACGACCAAGTGTGATTTATGTAAAATCAACTTCACTTTTTCGAATAACAAGGTTGCACATCACGATCATTTATCGGGTAAATTTTTAAAAAGTTTATGCAACACATGCAATTTGAAATTAAAGACCCAAATATTTGTTCCGTGTTTCTTACATAATTTATCAAAATACGATGCTCATTTTATAGTAACAGAGCTAGGATATGACTCGCATAAAATAAATGTCATTCCTCATAGTGAAGAAAATCTCATTTCTTTCTCGAAATATATTAGCAACGATTTTACAATTAGATTTATAGATTCTTGGCATCCAGCTTGTCTACACTTGCGACAAATCTCAAAACACCAGATCATTCAAAATTCCGTGAAACCGCTAAAGTCTTTTGTCCAATCGATATGCCTCTCGTGACTCGTAATGGTGTTTACCCTTACGAGTATACTAGCAGTTGGTCGAAACTTGACGAGACCACCTTACCACCAAAAACTGAATTTTATAGCTCATTAACGGAGACTTCTATCGAAGAGGATGAATACGAGCATGCTATCAAAGTCTGGAACCATTTCAATTGTCGCTCACTCGGAGAGTATAGCGATCTTTATCTCAAGATCGACATACTTTTACTTGCAGATGTCTTTGAAAATTTTAGAGTTATTTGTATTTCTACATACAAATTAGATCCAGCTCATTATTTTACAGCTCCAGGTTTCAGCTTTGATTGCATGCTAAAATATACATCGATAAAACTAGATCTATTATCAGACTATGATATGCTACTATTGATTGAAAAAGGTGAATATTTTATTTATTTATTTATTTATGATAAATATAAGATTTTCATCTAATTTATTTCTTAGGCATACGAGGTGGACTGACACAAGCTAGTATGAGATATGGCAAGGCAAATAATCACCGAACACCTCATCATGACGAATCTAAATCTAACACACGGATAGTTTATCAGGATTGTGAGTTAAAATATATGTTTATAAATAATTTTAAGTATTATTAATTTTTCTTATTTTAGGTAATAATTTATATGGTTGGGCAATGACCCAATACCTTCCGTATGGTGAATTTAAATGGGTCGAGCCATCGCTAAATGGTTTGAATGACTTGAACGATACTTCCGAAATAGGCCGTATATATGAAGTGGATATATCATATCCTCAACATTTGCATGATGAACATAATGACTTGCCGTTTTTGCCCTATAACGGTATACCACATCTATCTATCTAACCGCGGCGGCGGCGGTGGCGGCGGTGGTGCCAGAAACCCCCAATTTATACTACTATTACTCATTTTTTTATTTTTTTTTTTTTTTTATAACGCTATATTTTCATTTGAAACATTATCAAAATTATTAAAACCGTGCGACTTCTATTTTCAAAATGAAATGTTTACTCGCATATACTAAGTAACGCGAACGTGTATGATCATGTAGTTTTCTATTCAACAATCGTAACATATTTTTCACTGTTCTAAAAAGTGATATGTGTGATAAAAATCGTTTCCAAAATGTTACAACAGTACAAATGGTAGTCACTTATAAGATTGTTTGGAAAAATGTACGAGTATTATACATCTGATTAAAATTGTAATTTAACAGATATTATCCGACGACGAGATGGCGACGCAGGAAAAGTGCCGCGATTGGGTGAACAGTTTACAGGAATGCGAGGAATATGGACCGGAGGACATTGTACGTATTAATATAATAATATTATTCTTACATCCCTAAGCGAAGTCGATTTCATTTCATTTGATTTTGAGTCTATAACATGAGCGTCTGTGATTTTCATGACGAAAAATGTGTACAAAAAAAATATATAGTATATGTATATAAAAAAAAAAAATACATTTTGCTTTTCAATTTTGAATTAGATTTGTCCCGATTCCGACTTTGGTTCGTCCTCAATCATGTCCATGACCAGCGTAGAAAAAAAAGACGCTTTGTTGCGACCGTCGCCGGTAAATATACTTAACATTTGTACAGAATAGTGGATTAATATGATACTGCTCGAATTATATTAGCATTGTTCTTTAAATGTCAATTTGTTCAAAAAGTATATACGGCTAAATACTTGCCGGTAACTCACGGAATCTTCTCCGTGTCTGGATTTATTAATTTATTTTATTTTCTACTATAAGAATGTTTGAAAAAATTTTATTAATTTTTTTTCTTTTAATTTAATTTTTTTTTTTCTTTTATAGTCACCATGTTTCCAGAATTTCACGACTGCGGAAATTGTCGAATACAAAATAGCTTGGACCAACATTCCTCTATAAACAATTGAATCATAATTTATTGATTTTCATACAATAAATACACCGAACAATATCAAAGTTAACCAACTGAATTTATTAATCTATATATATATATATAAATGGAGCCATAAATGTATAACATTTCATCAATTGAGAACGGCTGGACCGAATTGGCTCAAATTTTTTTTTAATTGTTCGCAATTGCTAGGAGAAGGTTTTTACGAAAAAAAAATTTTGTAAAAGTACTATTGTTTAATAAATCGTAGTTTAATTTAATAATTTTTGACCCGGTCAATAACTGCGCAATTGAAAATTAATTATTAAATGAAACTATGTATTAAAAAAAACTATTAAAAACTATTTAAAAACTATTAATTTTATTTTCGGTATTAAATGACGGGTATTGCATAAATATTAAACAACAAGATCCCGCGACAGGTGCCAAAACAAACAAGAATGTTAGTTCGAAGGATTATTATGCACATCGGTTGATGATTAGACGCAATCAGGACGTTATTCTACTATGTCATGAGCTTTCTCAACAATTCATGGTCGGCATGCATGTAAAGATAGAGAGCGAATGATTTCGATACTTGCGATTCAATAAAAAAAAGCTGCGTGCGAAAGATTCTCAAAACAATTGTTAGATATCGGTGATGGAAAGTTACTACAGATGAAACGGAATGCATAAAATTAACTACCGATTTCTACACAATCATTTATTCGCAAGATGTTTTCATTGACCAGATAATTCTCAATGTACACAGACAATACACTAATCATGAGTGGCTGGTAGAAAGAGCGATTTTAATAACAAAAAATTTGGACGTTAACGAATTGAATTTCAAGATACAATATTTGTTACCAGGAGATTTGGTGTCATACAAATCTATTGATACAGTTTGCGATACTACTGAAGCTGTAAATTATCTAACAGAGTTTTTAAACTCATTGGATTTACCAGGTAAGCCACCACATAATTTACAACTGAAGGTTGGATCTCCGGTTATTTTGCTTCGTAATTTGAACCCACCAATGTTGTGCAACGGCACGCGATTAGTCATTAAAAAATTAATGAAATATGTTATCGAAGCCATCGTTTTAAATGGCAAATTCCAATGTGAAAATATATTATTACCGCGAATCCCTATTATACCCACAGATGTGCCAATACAATTTAAACGCCTTCAATATCCAATTAGATTGGCATTTGCAATGACTATCAATAAGTCTCAAGGCCAAACGATGTCTGTCTGTGGCTTAGATTTGAGCACATCATGTTTTTCACACGAGCAATTATACGTGGCGTGTTCTCGAACCATCCAGTTTGTTTTTGTTTGGGAAAGATGGGATTACAAAAAATATTGTACACTCTGTTGCATTAAGAGATTGATATTGTTTTTTACTAATATTGTCATAATTAGCGATGTATATAATTTTAAAGGATCAGTTTTAATAAATTATTAAAAAAATAAATGTTTGATGTTTTTTCATTTTTATATTCCGTCACCGTTCACAGCACTCCATACCTCTTCTACTTATATACCATATCCTTTCACAGTTATATTAAATTAGTTACTTTTTTTTCTAGTAAAATATTCTCTAGAAATAATTTATATGACAAAACGACGTTTGTCGGGTCAGCTAGTATATATATATTAATATGTACTATGAACCATAGTATATCCTCATGTAGTTACTACTTACTTCTATAGTACTACTGTACTCAGATAAGGTATTGAATATTGTTAATTTATAAAATGCATACATTAAGGGGTCTCGCTATGGCATTTATTTAAGGAGCAAAAAGGAGCCAAAAATAGGCAATTCTAATCTTGTTGTCGCCAACCGAGATCTACGTGTTAGTCGTAAATTGTTATTAGTGTGTGTGTGTGTGTGGTGACAATTCGGGTACCACTTCCTTCCGCACCATCACCCAGGTAGACGGTCTTCGTAATCGTTATCGCAATATATATCATATTTGTTGAATTATAGCTATTGGAATTTAGGTATAAAATAATATAAATAATAAAACAAATAGCTGTAAATATTCTGCAGTGTAAAGTAATTTGTACTATTTTTGTATAGGTATTCAAATTTAGTCATCATATCAATAGGAAAAAAATCATATATTATGTATTACCTACAGACCACAGATTATAATATTATATTATATATAATCTGTGTATAGACTGTACAGTAATAATATAATAGCTTTTTTAACCATTTTTATGCTTTTTATAGGTATTTTAAATTTAGATAAAATAACAATCAATACTTAATATTTTGTATAGGGATTCCCGCTTAAAAAGTTGCCTTTTTGCTTGTCTCCCGCCTATTTTTTTATTAGAATAGTGATATAGCAACTTACGTAGTTTTAGTAAATGCCTTTACATTTCCTTTATTTTTTTTTTCTGTGGTATAACGGATTTCTATACTTAAGTATATACTTACTATTCATATTATAGATTGTACTTCACAATTTATTAATTTATAAAAACCACACGGACAAAACTTCACTAAAAAGTAAAACAATATTAGTTTTTATAAATTCAAATTATCATACAGTGACGACTGTTACGTTGGACGATTGTCTAATAATTGAATCTTTTAAATCATTGATAATATAAACGATAATTATTAATTTTTTAGAATTGTATTTTGAATGCCTGGGCATAGCCTACAGTTCACAGTAAAATACGAAGTACTACAAATTACAAAATATCTAATAATAATATCCTTATCTACGGTTCGCTTGTGCCGCATCGGTTGCATAGAGTATGATCATATGATCATATATATACTATATATATGATCATATGATCATATATATACTATATATCATTATGATCGCTTGTCGGTAACGCGATGGTTGATGCAGCTGGGGGTAACTTTACGCACTCGCAGACACATGTTCAAAACAAATGAACAGTGAAAATTTCACCCTGAAGACACGTTTTTACTTTTAACAGTACGTTCCTATAAATACTCCGATTTAAGTTCTGAAAAAACTTATAGATTCTTAATAACATTTCCAAGGCATCGCTCGTGATACAATTTAAAAAATATTTTTAATTATTTAATTATTTCTATATTAATGTTATAATTTTTTAAGTTTTGCAATCATTTAAAAAATAATATTGACAATAAAAATTCAAAATGTATTCCGACCGATGCATCAATCAAGTATTGAAAAATCTAAATCTATTTTCAAAACTTATGTCGAATGACGCATTCTAGAGTACGGTAAAATTTAGAATGTGTTATTTTCAATCCAAAACTGGCCGGTGTAGAGGCCCCTTCAATCAAATTATAAAATTTTATATCATTATATATAATGTATTTAAACTATAATTTATATAGACTAAAATATGTTAGATTACATGTTACAATATTATAATTTTTTTAGTTAATTTGATATTATATTTTTATAATCTAAATACTGTGTTTGTAATTTTACACAGTGGTATATTATATTAGACTATTAAATAGTAAGAAAATAGTAAGAAATTTTCTTCTAAATACTTGGTTTATTTGGGTGTAATCGTATTCATATCAAAATCATTAACATTAACTAACTTATAATGCTCAGTCGATACTAAACATGAATTAATTTATTATGTACCGAACTGTTTACAAAATTTAGTTTTTAAAGTTCTATAAAACAATTAAGATAGTATTTGTAATATCAAATATGTGATAGGTTATGCGTTTTGACTTGGATGGTTTATTTTTTCCCGGGAGTTAAATTTCAGAGGAGACCGATCAACAATATTATAAGCTGTTGTGTGTAAATTAATAGACTACTTATACTCCAACTGCAGTTATCAATGTTAATTGAAAATAATATAAGTAAAGGACCACATAATATCTAAATATATATATATATATATATACATAAAATGTTTCTATTACAAATCGTAATACTTAATTTATATTATATTAAATAAATTATTCTAATTTTATAAATAATTAATTATTTAACTTAAATTAAATATACGTACGTTTATTAATTTCATAAATGTTCATGAAAATATTTGCAATGCAGTGTGCCCGTGTGCACCGTCGCAGTCATCGCCACCATTACCGCTACCGCCGCTGTGTGCGTAGGCTAGCGATATCCGTTACCGTCACCGCCATCGCCACCCCGGTAGTGAGCGCGAATCTTAAATTAGTTATATTTTATATTTTTACTTATTTTCGTTTGGGAAATGGATTTCAAAAACCAAGGTAAGTGTTCAATAACTATAGCTAATATATTTTTTTTAAGATGTTAGGCATGAAATATAGTTGGAAAAATAGTAAAAAAAAAAGGTAATATTATATTTTAGCCATGGCGGGTGCGGCGCAGCTGACGCTTGTGCCTGGAGTGATGCCGGAGAAGAAAACAGACCGGCGATCATCACATCGCGATAACGCACCGATGAAAAGTTCGAGAATATTCTCGATCGGCATCGTTGTCCAGTGGACCGGTCCAAAATATAATTACACCGCGCCCGTCTCTTCTTTTGGTACGACGCGAACGCCATCGTCAAGTTTACAACGGACCACCGATGTCCGTGAATCATTTCCTTCAAATCTCAACCAAAACTTTTACAATGATAGTCCTGGCATAATGAAATGACTTCCGGCTTTAGTTTCAGAAGTCCAGACGGATGTATATGTCAAGTTAAATAGTATATCAACATTGATAATTATCCAAATTAGCCGCCAAAAATAAATTAAAATCTTAAGACAGAATACAGAAGTATAATTATTGACAGGTACCTAACAAACCTAACAAAGTATTATAACATTTTAGTATAAAGAATTAATATATATATATATTATTATAATTAATACATTTTATTTAAAATTGCATGTGCGATTTCGTTAAAAAAAATATGAAAAATTAATGAATATAATTAAATGATAGACTTTTTTTTGGTGAATTAATTTTAAAATATAAAAATATGAATAATGGTACAGGCATACATATATGTACGCCCTTACGATCAATATCACATGGGGGATCATATAAATAATGTTATACACTGTATAAAATAATATACAGTATACTCACGATTATCCGCGGAACAGGATGGCAGGAAATCCACGGGTAAGCGAATTCCGCGGATAAACCACAAAATTAAAATTACGAAAATATTTCATATAAAATTGATATACGCTTTATTAGTGATGAAATGCAATTAATGTACAACCCGCGTTATCGCGTAATCGACTATCACAACCCAATTAAACCGATAATGATGTACAATGTACATTCGAGGGTCTAATATTATAGGAAAAATAACAACCAAAATTGCGTTATTTTGATTATTAGTTTTTAATATAAAACGACGTATCTCCTATGATACTGATAGACGTATCAACAATTACTATAATGTGTTAAATGTATTGTATTAAACAAACGTATTGTACTTTACGTCGATATCGAGTAATCACATATCAGTTATCACAACCCAATTAAACCGATAATGATGTATAATGTAAAGATATATATATATATATATTTTGTATACATAAAGATATGTAGAAAATCCCGCCGAAGACAACGAATAATCCGCAACGTGGATAGTAAGCTCGCGGATAATCGAAAGTACACTGTATATCATTAATATTTATTGGCACCAGTAATTTCAACAACTAAAAGACCGTAGGGTAGAGCAAATACGCAAGCGAATATTGATTTGTAGAATACGTGAAAGGTATTTGTGCCAAAAGCAGATATCGCGAGGCCAACCATTCTATATGCAATGAATATTCCAGGGTTGGGCACATAGTAACAATTAGTTGATAACAACTAAAACACAAATCGCACATCGTTAGCAAAATAGGTACTGTATTGGCAAAGATGGGAAAACTACGAAGAGTTCACACAAGGCCGGGGTATTAATTATAAAATATACATTTACGTAAAACATAATTCAAACCATATCCGGGTCAAGCGTATTAATTTCTTGAAATGACCATAGTCTCTTACACAAGAACGGGGTATATATGGTAGTACCGAACAGACCAATATTCAGATGTGTTATAGTCCGATCATAGCAAGCACGTTAACGCCAGTTAACTTTCTAAATAAATTATATGTTTTGGACTTAAAATAGAGTTTAACTTAAATTGAGTTATTATTTGAAACATCATATCACTCTTCCTAACCTCAGAACTGTTGAACTGACGGCATGTAATAATATATTATAATAGTTGATAATAAAGGGTAATACATTTTTGATGTAAAATACCTTTTAAATATATACCCGATTCGAGCGCATCGAGAGGTAAATTTTTTAAATATACTAATAAAAATGTTTAGCCGCTCAAATCTTCTCCCTCCGAGCGTAAATACTCCCGGCCCACCCCTAAATGTAAATGTTGATATTCAGAAGCTATTTAATTATATTTAGCATATAAATAGATAAGGAAAATAAAGACTTCAAATAAAATGTAATCTTTCGCTTGTATCCATTTTAAAGTTTTCGATGAAATAAAAGAATTGACGTGTTAAGTAATTTCGGTATGGGCGTCACTAGAGTCCAAATTTTGAGGTAACAAAGTTGATTTTTAGAAAGTGAAAAAATAATTGTTTATAGGTTTAATACGATAACTGGCTAATCTCTTCTTCATTAATTTTGGTACGACACTTGTACACACCGCCTTATCGTCCGTATTTGTTACAAAATATAATTGTTTTGGATACAATCACAATAATAGATGGTCTATGTTCGTACACACTTGAATAATAAACATCGAATATATTTTTTAAAACCTATGACTTTTTTTTGGGGGGTAACAAAAACATACCCTTGCTACACCACAAACATTTCTGGGGTAGCGAAGATATTCCTCAATACCCCTTAGTGACGCCTATGTATTTCGGTATATCGAATTTCCACACGTCGAATTTTTCTATAAATCGAAGTCATTATCCGGTACCCATCGCCTATTACGATTCACTAACTCGAATATATGACAGATTAGATAAAGTATAAAATGCTCAGGCTATAAAATATAAGATAAATGACAGAGCTTGTACACACTACGTTGAAATAACGTTGATATTTAATTATAGATTAACTAGTGTTGGATAACGGTGATAAAGTTACACGGACTTATATTAATTGAAATTAATTTCGAGCGGCTTTTCTGAAAAATACCTAGTTGGAGACACTTATAATGCGGTTGCTCCTGAGCGGAGAAATCTATATTACATATTCGACCTTGTGCGAGTGTGTACGATGTGGTGCGTATACGATTTCCCAGGAATCGAATATCTAAAAGAATATTAGTTTGGTTGTGTTCACGTTACGTTTAAAGATATATATGTATATATCTTTAACAGGGACGGCGCGAGGGGGTGGGAAATAGAGGCAGTTGCCCAGGGCCCCGCGCCTTAAATTATAATTAAGGCCCCGCGGTTCTGATTTAACTGAACATAAAATATTTTATTAATATAAATTATAAGACCCAACATTTATTTTGCCCAAGGCCTCACAAACTCTAGTACCGTCACTGATCTTTAGGCCCTCCGCGCACTACGCGATTCACACGCAACGCAATTCTTTCCACGTGCGATATCCTAGCAAAATGAATGGGGATCCACTAACACCGCAATTTGATAATGACGCGATTACGACGCGACTACGACGCGAGCGATAGACGACACGCGCGACCCACAGTACTAGTCGCCAGGCTATCGTATCGCGCGAATTGCATACGATTTCATTTTAATATTTTATTATTTTGATTTGTATCATAAATTATTATGGAGGTGTTCAATATAAAATTCGTTGGTGAGGTTGAAAAATACCCACCCTTATATAATTATACCATTCCCGACTACTGTAGGAATGATTTGGTGGACAAGGCATGGCAAGCTGTATCAATGGAAGTCAAATTACCTGGTAAGTATTTTATTTTATACGTGGTTCCTAAATTTGTTCGTGTATTTTAAATGATATATGGTATACCAATTATTTTAATACGTTGTAATATGTATATTTTATGTACTCGAATTACCTATTATTTATATTTATATTACATTGTTACCATATGTTTTTAACACGTTGAGTGCCGCGATTGATACGTGGTATTTTAATAATGATAATAATATTAATTATATAACAATATTAATAATTTAATACAAGTCATGCGATTGACACTGCACGATCGACTGATTATCGTTTTGTGTTGGTGGACCTAAAATCGCGCAAATCGTTCAAATCGCGTATGTCACACATATCGCATTTCAATCGTGTCGCGTGTGAATCGCGTAGTGTGCGGAGGCCCTTAATCGTGGTTTAGAATAATGAAGTTCCGAGTTATGAAGGTGATAAAGAAAATTATGATGATATGTTATCAGTCGGTGGATAAGCATAATTCTAGTTATGTAAGAGCCCGTTCACACGATCCCGAATCGGCGGTTTTGCCGTATCGTTGATCTTATCGTTTAAGCCAGTGTCAATGTAATTTAAATGCATATATTCAGACGATACGGCATTGTACTGTATTCGGTAAAATTACCGATTAGGTCGATTTTGTCATTCGGTTTGTCTCTGCAAATTGTTTTTCGGTCATACGGTAAAAAAACCGATTCGGCTTATCGTGGCAATGTATTTATAGACACCGCGTTCAGAAGATTCGATATTTTGACCGATAGTGTGTCATTTTATGTCTGTGCTACTGTCGAATAATTAGGTATCGACATTCGAAAATAATTAAAAATTTTGTTTCGTCTTGTCGTAATTGACACATTAGCGTATTAAAAGAGTCCAAAATATTTCTTTGTTTCACAATAGGATGTACCCAGAATCTTCGATTTGAAATCCGTTGCGGTTGACGATACTTACGATACCAGTATATAAATATAAATGTATTCAAGTTCATCTTCACTCGTCTTAATGCGAATACGATATAAATGCAACTGAAACTCGAGTACGGTGTACGGTTAAATTACCGTACCGTCTGAACACTCTAACCGAAAGACACCGAATCGAAAAAATAGCCGATACGGTAAAAATATCGAATCGTGTGAACGGGCTCTAATATTGTTTACTTGATGTATCTTTTTTTTTTCTATCCTAACATACATTACGCTACTTTTTTTTTATATATATTCAAAAATTTCAATTCGAACATTATGTGTGTGAAAACTATTGTGAATGTTGATACACTCAATACTATTGAAGAGTATGTTACCTATTTCGAATTGGACTTACTTGAAGATTGGGCAATTGGAAAACCTAGAAAAGTCAGAGAATTTCAAAATACAAAAAGAGTGGCAACCCTATTAATGACAACGTACATGCATTTTTATAACGATTAAACAATTTTAAACTATAGAAATACTAAATTTAAAAGAATGTCCCTCTGAGGGGACGTTGGGTTTGAAAGGGTTAAAATAAAATAAAAAATAAAATAATAAAGAATTTTTTTATTTAAATAAATTAATTAACAATTAAGAATTAATACTATAACAAAAAAGGAAATAAATAAATTCATCTTCTTATTACCATCTAGTAGCTAACCAGTTGGCTATTGACGATTTGGCTTGTGCTCTTACTTCCTTATTATATAAAATGCGGTCATGGCTGTAAACATACAAAAAATAAAAATATTAAAACATTAGAAATTGATTTATTTGAGATAATGTAATAGACAACCCCATAAAATTGTAGACTCAAATGTAAACTTAATTATATTTGTTAACAATTATTTTTTTAATTTTTATTATAATTTTATTATACATTTTTATATTTTTTATTACAACTAATTAGGAAATAAAATGTTTCTAATTGCTTGTCATTATAGAATACTTTTAAAATCAATAATATACCACATAGTTACTATGGTAATTAGCACTACTGTAAAAATATAAAAATAAATTGTAATTACCTATAGAAAAAATATGCCTCTCGATGTGCGTAAACGTCGATATTTGGTTCGTTTAAAAATTGTTGAATACCTAAGAGAATATTTTTGATCGTTAAGGTTGGATGCCAATCATAATTCTGAACCAATAATGATGAACAAACAATACCTAGTCATAAATAAAAATACAGTTATTTTTACTGTAAATTAATTGTTACTCAAATATATATAAAGCGATAATAAATCATAACATTTTAGAAACAATTTCAAGCAAAAACTATTTATAATATGTATACAAATACATATACCTATGTTAACATTAGACTAACATTATAGAAAAGATTAATTAATAACAACAATTTTATTAGTTACCAACAAATGAATACATAATATAAAATATGAATATGTATTAAGTTACATATTTTTTAATACATTGTCAATATTTCAAACATTATTTAAACGTTATTAGAGTATTCATAATATAATTTAAAAAAAATTTAACTTAAAATAAAAACATTGAGTTAAATAATATATTATATTTTAAAAATATGACAATGTTTATTAAAAAAATTAATAATCATTAAGTTGATGAAAATAAAACTTCAATTTTTTCAAAAGAATTAATTTAAAATATTCTAACATAATGATACTCTCATATAATTATATTATTTTTTATATTTTTAGGAGGCTGTATGAAGCAATAATGGGCTTTAATGGCATAATAATAAGCTAATAATAATAATAATAATAATAATAATAATAATAATAATAATAATA